ACACACACACACACATGTGTGTGTGTGTGTATTCATCATTGGATTTAATAAAGTTTACGACATTTGACATGAAATCATTTTTTTTTTTTTATTCAAGACACAAGGTAAAAGACAGCTGGAAATAATGTTCCTATACGTTTTAAACTCCCAACAAAAGAAACAAACCAAAGGAAAAAACATTGTTATAGTCTGGAATGAGTGAGACTGTTGGTAGAATGAATCTCACCAGTGCCTATTGTGCAACGAAAAGGCTCTCCGCCGTTACATGCGAGAAGGCGTGAGTACAGCTCCCGAGTTGGGTCGTAGATCGCCTTTTTTATCGAGTATCTCAATATAATATTATGTTTGCTGGGACGACGCTGCATTGTATTCAGCCCGGGGTAGGCGCTTACAGTCGGCAATGTCGAAGCGACCGGCTTCTTACATGATGTTAAATGTGTTGATAGGGGCTTTAAACATTTATATCGTAATATGAATGACATTGTGAATTGGTTTTAATGTAATAGTAGAAAAGTCTTTAAAGGACAAAACATTTTTTGTTTACCTACGATTCAAATGGAGATTTGAGATCTTTTCACTTTCTCAATGCTGTTCCCATAAATGCTCTTTCCCTACGGATACAAAAAATAACAAATGAAGTAACACATTGGTGAATTTCATCTGTTCAATGTATTCTTTTTTTTTTTTTTTTTTAGTTTATTATGGCTAAATGGGAACATAATATTATCTTTGGAATTGTTAAAAATTTTGTGATCTTTTAGTACTTTTAGACAGAAAATGGTTTGTCCTTCAACTTTCCAAATACGAGAAGATAGATAGATCGACAAAACTACCGTCGTCCCATAACAACAGGATCGGACGTGAGCAGAGAATATTCCAGAACGTACCTAAAGAAGACCACAAAATATCTTTTTAAATAAGATTCAATTCAAAAGAAAATAACATGGTCCCATTATCCATAAAAACGTGTATGGTTTTTATTTTTGTTTTGACTTTTTTTCTTCAAGATGAAGAAGATAAACTTAGACTTGTATTATCATATGTGAGGCAGCGTGGTGAAATCATGCGCTTTGTCAAAATAATGTATTCAAGGAAACCGGTATTTTTCTGGCCGTATGGCGAGGGGTTTTTATTTTTTTCGAATTTTCTCTTTTTATGTCTCAATACCTTCTATGCCCATTTAAAAACACATTTCTGCTTTGATTTTACTGAAAAGCGTTGGTTGAAGGCGCAAAAAATGTAAATTTGCTGTTCCCAACGACTCTCTTGCTTTGGAAGCCACCAGACTTTGGCGGCCATTTACTCAATAATTTTTCCGCTGAAACCAGGCTACCCCCACCTCCTTTAATCGTAAATATCTCGATCTCCATTCAAGATAAATGGGTATTTTTTACCTCAAATGCTAGACAAATGAATACACTTTAAGATGATACCAATAACTTCAAATATCTAAAACTTGACGAGCGTCTGATTTCACTGCGTTATGCCACATATCCTAAACCAACACTGATGTTGCTCTGGATCTCTGAGAGGCGCGCTGTTTTACTCAGTTTTGAGCCAAATGAAATGCATGATGGAGGAGGGGGTGGACGAAGGGGACAGGGGCATTTACATGGCCTTGTTGTGTTGAAAATGCTGTAAAACTTTTATAAAAGCATTAACTGAAACCGTTGACCAACTGTTTTGTCGTAGTGCCATACTGGGCTGACTCTTTCCTTTACACTCTATGATAGTAATTGTTTCCATGTGCCTCTCAAACAAACGACGAAACACGCAAACAAACAACCAAGCAAACAGACAGATAAATGGTCAAACAACCAAGCAAACAAACAGACAAATTGTCAAACAAACGAGCAAACAGACAGACAAATGGTCAAGCAAACATGCTTACAAATGGTCAGACAAAGAAACCTACAAATGTGAGGTGTTCTGACAAAATAAGGTACTTCCTGCAATCCACGAATGGAAATGTAGTCCGAAAATAGATACCACAAATTTCTAAATTTTAAACTGATTTATTTTTCTTCGAGTTTGATGTCCTTTATCATTTCATATGTATGCTAAATTATATCTACCCAAATAAACACTTTGCTATATTATCTTTCTGTGTCCATAGACCAGAATTCGAAAAGTAACTCATTTTGTCAGTATCCTTCACAAATGGTCTAACAAACAAGCAAACAAGCAGATAAATGGTCAAACAAACAAGCAAACAAACAAACAAATGGTCTAACAAACAAAGAAACAACGGTCAAAGTGATCCGCTCTTCCACTCATCCACTCATCCACTCATCCACTCATCCACTCATCCACACGTCCTCTCGTCCACTCATCCACTCATCCACTCATCCACTCATCCACTCATCCACTCATCCACACGTCCTCTCGTCCACACATCCTCTCGTCCACTCATCCACTCATCCTCTCATCCACTCATCCACTCATCCACTCATCCACTCATCCACTCATCCACTCATTCACTCATCCACACGTCCTCTCGTCCACTCATCCACTCATCCACTCATCCACTCATTCACTCATCCTCTATCCACTCG